GCTGAACCGTAGAGTGCATATCCGGCAGCGACTAGATTTTTACCAGGCTGAAACGCGCTCGCCACTGTAAGCTCCTTTGATTCGTTCGGCTTCTTGTAAATCCCAAATATCGAACCAACTGACACTAAACAATCGATATTGGAAGATCCATCCAAAGGATCGAAACACACTATATACTTTCCGCGTTTTTCAGTTTCCACTTCGATCGCATTCGTATTTTCTTCGCTTACGAGAAGACAGGTGGTGAACGAAGATGTCAACATATTCACGAACAATTCGTTGCTCAATACGTCTAATTTTTTTACGTCTTCTCCTTGAACATTTTGACTTCCAGCTATTCCATACCTTTATCGAAAATATGACGAAAAGAAAAAAAGACGAATTAAAAAGACACGATAAGATTTTTATATTCGTTAAAAATGTTCTATTCAAATATCTATCGATCGAACGTGTACTCACATATTTGCAATACCAGCTTTTCTAACCGCTGAACTGACCGCTTTTACAGCGGTCTGTATGCTGTTTAGAAGCTGACTTAGATCTCCTGTAGCGGTTGGTATTTTACGTTGTTCGGCCAGTACGAATCTCGTCAATGTCATGCAATCGGAATCGAAAGAATGGCTTTTCGATGTCATTTTTCAGCGGGAAACTATGCTCCTCTATTGTTACAACGCTTCTGCGAACAAACTACGCGAACGCGTTCGCGCGTAGTCTTATATAAAGTCGGGCGACCTTCCGATATCAATTTATCTCTGTAGAGAAAGCGATCGGAGAAATGTAACCACTTTAAAGTTCGTGTCAAGCAATGCAGACTGATTTCAGCCTCACTTTCAACTCTACTTCTACCCGTTTAATATTTTTACTGGCAGATCGCCGTAATGACACGTTTTTCCTTTCTTTTCGAATCAATTCGGACAATCGAGGAGAATCGTTCGATCAATTTTTATCCCAAGGATACGACGACTATCGCGCCCAACGATTCGCGAAATTATTTTCTATTTCAATGGTTTTAACAATTTCGAGGCGTGGCATTACGAGATTGCAACACGAACCATCGGCGTATAATTATTTACGATATTATCGGTTTATATAACATGAAAATATTTTGATGATATTTTTAGCGATAGATTCGTTCAAGGGTTATCGAATATTCTAAAGTTAACGCTCATAGTCGATAATATATGTAACGCGTGTTCTACCACGTACACTGTAAACCATATGTGTATTTACGCACAGTAAACAAGGTTAAATTTTATTTCGCGTGTACTTGTAAATTAAATAGTTGTACAAGAATTAATTATGTTACGTGTAAACGTAGCAGTATATGTAATAAAATAAAATTTACCACTAATTTACTATATACATATATTATATATAGTACATATTTATTTATTATTACTATATACTATATAGATAAGCAGATAGGTAAGAAAGAACAATTTGAAAGTTGCTAGTACCTTTTCATTCGAAAGTCAAATTATCTACGTACACATACGAAGTGTTCGAGAAGATCAGGAGCAAACTCATACCACGTAGCGTTAATGAAGCCAAGTAGATGAGAAAAGTTCATATAAACTTACGTTCACAAAATGCTTCGACGAGAGGTTAAAAACGTTCACAAATTATTACGAATTATTGTATTATATGGCAGTGAGAGTAAACGATAAACGTACGAAAATTCGTGCTACAAGAATGCAGGGGTTCATTCGTCGAACTAACGATTGCCAAACTCTTTCGAATATTCTTACGACTCCATGACTCCATCCACAAATGTGGTCAACGAGTGTCAAATTCGGTGATGTAAAGGAATAAGAGAATGTTTTCTTTCCAATATACTACATTTAATTAATAAAATTAATTACGACCAAGTCACAACTTCGATATAACGATTCGATCTTTCGTTTAATTTCATTTCATTGTAACGTAGACGAATACACCGCAAAATAAAAGCCATATTTTTAAACAAATCGTTTCGAATAAGTCATACTTGACTTAGACTACTTTCATAATTGCCAACGCAATTATCATCCATTAAAAAAATCAAATAGAAGTTGCATTTGATAACGTTTTGCCAATATCGAGACATCGTCAAATGTATGTAGTGAAGAAATGTAGCGAGGAATTTGCAAAAGTTGTAAAGATCGAGCTATGTAATAAGATCTGTATGGTGTCCTGTAACGACCTAACAATCCTGTCGAATCTAGAAATCCGGCATGTTGTAGAGAGTGGCATGTAAACAATAATGTACGTTTGCAATTCTGCATAACGAATTCTAAGAAAAATTCTAGAAAAGAGAAATCAATCGCGTATTTTCAGACGTTATGACGTTTATGTAGGATCGGGGTGTGTGGATTGGCTAAAGTAACGTTGCTTTACTGCTTCTTAAAATACAATAAACTTATGCTTATATTATCGGCTACGAAACTAAAGACTCGCTACGGGTACGCTCGACTTTTACTTGTTAGACGCTATCTCGAAGACCGTGAAGGACTGTCCTCGCCCGCGCCCTTGCACCCTTATTTAAACCGTTCATTCTCCTCATTCATACCCGGACTTTCTTCCCCAGTCATGCTCCTTTCTCACGCAACCTCGGTGGGCCTGGCCCTTCAACCACTCTGCACGCATCCTTAAACTTTCGCTGGACTCTACCATAAATAATCCTTGCAGTCGATCCTTGCACACATGGTCACTTTCATTCCAAGTCCAGACACACTCGACATTTCCCAGAGCCACACTTATTCCATTCCCACATTTATGTGAATTTTTCTTCATCTTGGCTTCCGAGAATCTCATTAACGCATGGTATAAGTTTAGTCCCGACCTTTTCAGATACCCCATTTGTCTGTATCCTTATTTTCGTGCGCGTAAAACCGCTTATAATATTTTGATACTTGATTGACTTTTCCGGACCATGCCCTACTTCGACACCTCAAAGATTTCGATGCCCCTTTGTCGTATCCAAGTACGGTTTACATCTCGTAAAACATAAAGCGAAGCTAATAGAATCCTTCAGCTTGATGGTTGCTACAAAGCATTTTTACTTACCGATTTCGTTAACTTCGCTCTCAAATCTCTACGTCTTTCGATAACCAAACGATTTCTTTCTTTTTATTATTTTTTTTTTTTTATTATGTTTTTTATTAGCAAATCATTTACAGCGCTACAGCCACGTTCAACTAAATACGATGATGGGAAGGACAATGTCACTTTGTTGGTAACAAGAAATAATAAAAATTTCTCAGCTGTGAGGAGTACGCCTCGCGTTGAGAAATACTGAACTAGACCAATATATTCCATACAAAATAAAGAATTGCGACATACGTAACTTTAAGTATGCGTAACTCTGATTTCATTCATACGTCGAACAGGCAAAGACTCGATAGGCCTTTTATAGTCGTGACAATAAAATGACTGGTATATCTTTCGAATCTGAATCCAATTGAGAAGCTATGAATTCATGCAGACGATAGATATACAGAGGGACAGGTATCGAAGAAAATGGCGAAATTTTACGTACTCGCGATACACGAAACAGAAAATCGATACTTGTTCATCGATGGGTTCGACTTATCGAATCTACGCCACGATCCAACCTGCTCAACCAAACATACGAAAGTGGCCGAAATTCTGCACAATTGTAGAATGGCGAAAAATCATTCGACCTGTACCTTTTTCATCTGCCATTGTCCATGTTAAAAGGGTAAAGATTCATCCGAAAGTAGGGGTGGTAAAACATATTTGGTGGAATATCTTGCAAACTAGCCATTTGATATACCACTGAAGCCAGACCAATGATACATAATTATACATATGTATATAATTTCTAGTAATTTTATCCTTGTGATGTTCATGGATACGTGTAGTAGGATAAACCAAATGAAATTTAGGTCAACTCGCCAATTAACCGGTTCTTCGCAGATTTTAATTCATTTTAGATATGTCGTAAAAGGCAACATTTTGAGCATCTTTTTCCTCTGCGTATAAATAGTGAACGATAGTGCAAGATATTAAGAAAAATCTTCTGATACTGTGATAATTGAATTTTGATAATATGCCCGTGATTCTTATCGTCCGTGGCACCATTATAGGCACAGCTGTTTCGTGTATTCAGATCCATGAAAAAATGTGTACACGTGCCAGCTGAATCTGTTGTCTCGCGAATAC